GACGTTGAGGGTGGGCCCCAAGAAGAGCCCCCAAAGAGGGGCCTCTTAGGGCCTTTGGGCCCTTTTCGGGGCCCCAATGGGGGCCCCAAAGAGGCCCCAGAGGCCCCTTAAGGGCCCCCAAGAGGGGCCCCAATGGGGGCCCCAAGAGGGGCCCCCAGAAGGGCTTGTGAAGTGGGGCCCCCCTGTGCGCGATCTCCTTAAAGGCCCCCCCACAGGGGCCCCATTGTGGGGGCCCCTCCAAGGGGCCCCCCTGAGAGGGCCCTTTAGGGTTTAGGGCCCCCTGAGGGGCCCGCCTGGGGGGCCCTTTTGGGTCATTTCCTCGCTTGCTGCAGCAGGGTACTGCAGTGTCTGTACACCTCAAATACTCTAAAAGGCGCCAGCACGGCTCTCGGCCCTTCGTGCCTTTTTGATGCTTTTTGCTGATGCAGCAGCAGCAGCAGCAGCAGCATCTGCTGCTGTTTCCCTGCCACTCAATTGCTGTACATTGCTGCTGCTTCACCCCTACTGCTGCAGCAGCTGCTCTCCGAGCTCTCGCGCCGCCGCTGCTGCTACTACTACTACTGCTGCTGCTGCTGCTGCTGCTGCTGAGCCTCCGGAAGCTAAGTAGCTAGCAGGCCTGCGTCCTCCAGCTGGCCCAAAGTGAGGTAAGCCCACATAACAACAACCCCACCCTTCGAGGGGGAGAGGCCCCCCGTGAGGGCCAGGGGGGCCCCCCTGGGGTCTGGGGCGACGCAGCGGATTGGCTGCTGGCTGTAGGGGCTCACGCTGCTGCTGCAGAGGCAGCCTGCGCACACGCAGGCACACAAGCAGCAGCAGCAGCAGCAGCAGCAGCAGCCGCAGCAGCCGCAGCAGCAGCTTCCTTGCGCTCCCGCGAGTGCCAGGTCCCCTCCAGTCGCTCCACCAGAGACCCGGCGGCAGCAGCAGCAGGAGTGTCAGCAGCAGCAGCAGCAGCACGAGTGTCAGCAGCAGCAAAAGGGAGGCAGCCCCTGGGGCCCCACCTGAAGCAGCATCCCAAAGATGAAGGGCCCCCCCCATGTGCAGGGGGCCCCCCACCCCCAGCAGCTTATCTCTCCAGAAGCTGCAGCAAAAGGGCCTCGCGGGGTTTCTTTGGTCTCCCCCGAGGGGCCCCTCGAAGGTGGAGGCCTCGCTGCGGGCCCACTCCATCAGGGCCTCTTCAGCATCTGCTGCTGCTGCTGCTGCTGCTGCTGCTACTGCTGCTGCTGGAGGTGGTGTTTGGGCGTCGGGGTCGGCAGCAGCAGCAACGCTAGGGTCTTCACAGGGGGCCTTCTTGCCAGCCGCTGCTGCTGCTGCTGCTGCTGCTGCCTCCCGGGGTGTCTCTCGTGCTGCTTCTGGCTCGCCTGCTGCTTCCTCAGCGAAAGCCGTGTTGAGGAACACACGGTAGGGCCTGCTGCTGCTGCTGCTGCTGCTGCTGCTGGTTTGGACGGCCAGCAGCTGCGGAAAGAGACAGTCAGGAAGAGCGAACAAAGGGGAAGGCCTGGGGGGCCCTTTTTGCTGCTGGCGGCTTCCCGCTGGGATCGGGTGGGGTCGGAGACGATCCCAAGACGATCCCCACACGGCCATCTGCGCCCGGTAGCTGGTGTCGTGCAGGTCCCACAGCTCGCACACGGGGTGCGACAGCAGCCCTGCAGCAGCAGCAGCAGCAGCAGCAGCAGCGGCGG